TGTGGGATCGCTGTGTGTGCAGGGTCTGAAGCCATGGATGATGGATCGACTGGCACCATGGGCTCTGATGGTAAAGAATGCTGCCCACATTCAATTGTGACAAGTTTGTGGCACTTCTTGTGAACTGAGAGTTTGCAGTTGGTGGACTTATACACCTCATGGCCAAGTCCCTCTACATGGTCTGTGCAGACAGCACAGTGAGCTCGCCTGCTGAAGCGTTTGGCCTGAAAAGTATGGCTATTTGCATAATACAGCTTTCTCCAGTGGCCTGCAGCTCTGTGGTGGATGGATTTCTCTCCTCCTGGACAAGGCACTTTAGAATGTTCTGGTATACAAGGTGATGAATGAATTAAGAGCTCAGAATCTTTCTTTAGCTCAGAAAGCCTAATGGTGTCTTCTAACTCCAACTGAGGTGACACAGTATACGGGTCTCCTTCCTCCTCTATCCAGTGTGTGGTGAAAAGCTGTTTATTGTCCAGACACCACACATCTTGATCTTTATCACATAGGCCCTCAAAGTAGATGGAATTCAAAAGAGATCTTGTCATGATGTCTCTTCCCAAAATCAGGGCCGATCGGGTAGAGGTGTGGGTGGTGGAGGTGCCTGGGAAGAAGGGACCATAGACAGGTTGGCTGCCCAGGGAAATAGGCAGGCAGGGCTCAGAGAATGAGAGTGGCCTGACTTCCTGCAGGGACCACACTGGTCGGAATTCTGCAAGGTTCTCTGTGAAGTTGTTTCCAATAGTGGCAGCCAGGCCTGGATGGATGTACACCAGGTTTCTCAGTGTCTCTTGGGGGCTGGTAGCTGTGACTTTGGACTTTGACTCTCTAGGTTTTCTGTGCCCAGCTCTGGGGAGACCTGCCCAGAGCTACTGGGTATTTCTAGGCCTGGTGATACTTGCCCCGTGCTCTTCCTAGTTTCTGTGCCATTGGTATTTTGGCCTAGGGAGACTTCACCAGGGTACCTTGATTTTGGTAGGTCACTGGTGGTCACTCCTGGGGAGACCATCCCTGGGGTGTCTGTGACAGTCATGCAGCTGCTGCAGCATGGCCTGCAGCATCTGGAGGGAGTCAGCCATCTTCTCAATCTTTCACAGATACTTTCTCTACCTGGGGTCCTGAGGCTTTGGCCTCTCAAAGTGGAGAAGCAGCTCAGCATGTTTGCTGTTGACCATCTCTAGCCAAGTGAGCTTGGGAGACAGCTATTACTAGATTGTGACACCCATTGGTTCCAAGTTCTTTTTGGAGATGTTGCCAAGGAAGTGAGCTCATGTCGTGGGGTTCCATAAGCTGAGTCTCCACATAATAGCAAAGCCTATAGCCCTGAAGGGATAGAGACCCCTAAGCAGGGAGAGATGAGCCCCTCCCCAAAGGAGTTCAGATAGCTGGCAGAACAGGCTTAACCATCCATAAAAAGCTGACAGTCTGCACCTCCTCTTCACGATGTACCCTGCAAAGCTTGGTTTGCTAAGATCAAAAGGAAAAAGAACCTTGGCCCTAAGACGTAAAGGGCCCCTGCAAAGACCCTTCCCTGTTGTCCCTAGTAATGAGCTAAGTTAGTCTTTAACAAATCAAGTAGGGGCATCCTCAGCCCAGAGGCAGGATAGGCCCCCAACTACTATAAAACCAGCATCTTGAGCCCCCCTTCAATGGTGGCTCCATTTTTGGCACCCCTGCCTGTCTCTCTGTGAGAAGGCAGCTGTACTCTTGCATGCTTGCTGAATAAAAGTACAACTTTGTTTCTAAGCTTTTGGTCTCTATCTGATTCTTCCACAACCTTCTGCATTGTTGGGAGAGTCAGGCCCAGGACTACAGGGACTCTCCACCTGTCTCTGCCCGTGAGAGCCATTTTTTCTTCATACTAAATAAATCAGTGGCCAGTTATTTTGTTATTTTTATCTAAGTGTCTATGAATTTTTTTTCTATTTCTCATCTATCTGTTAGTTTTTCACTTTTGCATTACTGGGGCTTGTACTCTGCGTCTCCTCAGTGAACTATATCCTCTAACATTTTACTTCAGATACCCACTAAGGGTCTCACTAACTCACCAAATTGGTCAGCTGGACTCTACCATGTGACCTTCTTACCTCAGCTTTCCAGAGTGCTGGGACTGCAGTCACACACCATCCTGCCTGATTCAGTGTGCAACTACAGTGGTCTGGTGTGCCTTAATTGCAGAGATTTTCTTCACTTTTCCAATGGGCTTCCATTTTCATCAAGAAGCCTGAGAGAGGCCCTCTTTCTCTTGCTCACTTCTGCTCTATCTTCTGGAGCTCAGAACAACGTCCTTTATGACCCCCTGCACCTCTGTGCTGTGGATCCAAATACTGTCTCAGTGCAGCCACAGGGGTGTGGGGAGAGTGGTGCTGCTGGCATCCATGCAGCTCACCTCCTTGGCGCTGGGGAGGGGGCTCTGCTCCTCCAGTTTTTTGCTGTTTTGCACTGTGAAGTCCATCTGAGGATTTTATGTGGCTATAGTGCCCCTGGGCCTACTGTAGAAAGTTGTGTAACAAATTTCTTCTTTGTGAGGGTCAACCCAATACGAGCAATGTTGAGCTATTGAAATCTTGATTTCAGGATCTGCAAAGAGGTGAACCTGAAGAAGATAGCTTTTACAGGACAGCCCCCTTCGGAGTACTGCTTGTTTACCCTTCATGACTGTGCAGCTGGTTGGGAGCAGCAGCATTTACCAGGAAGAAAGTATCAGGTCACGTGTTTCCAGCAAATTGTTAACTGCTTCCAGATGTGGTGAAGGATGCTTGTAATCCCAGCACTGGGAGACTGAGGATATACATTTGAAGTCCGCCTCAGCTACATACTGTGTTCAAGGACAGCCTGAACTACATAGCAAGAGTCTGTGCGTGGGGCTAGTATGGCCTCCATGCCTCCATCACAGGGGCTCTCTGATGTCCAAGAGGAGGCAGCACAGCTCCTTGTCCTTCCCTCACTCCCAGATCCTGATGTCTTCACAGAAATCAGCACTCTGGTTCAATTATCACTACATAACAAACCATTTCAGAATATAAAGACTTCAAATATCTTCAATATTAGGGACCATGAGTCTGGTTGCATTGTGGCTTCTTCAGCTGACTCTGCCTGGATCATTCTTGGAGCAACATTCCATTAATGGACATTCTCAGTAGTATCCCTTGAAAGAACATCTACAAGACACTGATGGATACCATCACTGCTGTGCATGATGAGAGGCACAAATCTTTCTTGCTGAGATCAGAAATATGGCAAAGATTTCTCTTCTCACAAGTTTTCTTCAATATCACAGTAGAAGTTGTAGCTATGCCTCAGAGCTGAGCTCAGAGGCCACTGGATGCTGAGGCCTGAGCACCTGTGTGTGGTGGCAGGAGCACCATGGACTCCGCTGTAGCTGGAGTGTTCGTCAGGGGTGCCAGTATCTTCTGGTGCATGGCTGGCATTCATTGCCCCCTCTCAGCCATGACTCCAGTCCCTGAAGGTCAAGAACAAAAAGCTGGAGGAGAGTGTAGAGCCCAGTGGCCCTGGTGGCAGTAAAAAGTCACTGAGACAGAGGGTGCTGGACGAGCTCAAGTGCTACTACCATGGCTTCTGTCTGCTGTGAGAAAGTTAAGGTTTTGGTAACTTGATAATTACAGTAGTACATTGGTTCACAGACTTAATTCTTTCCACAATTTTGGTTACAAACCAAATTGGAGGGTGACCATGCGGTTGGGCAGCGTGTCTGGGGGCAAGACTTGTGCGAGCTCCAGGCTGGTGCACACCACCTTGCCCTCGGTGGGCGCCTCTGCCCTGCCGCTCCCTTGGGGCCACCCATTGTTCTTGCAGCCCACCCCAGGGCAGCTCCGTGACCCCGCTGCCTCTTCCTCCTCCTCCTCCCAGCATGGCAAGCAGCGTGAGCCATAGGAGGAGCAACAGCAGGGGCAAGCAGCCCCTGGGATGCCCAGATGGCTCCATGCTGTGGGCCAGGCCTGCAGGCCAAGCAAGGAGCACTGGCCTAGCAGGGGGCCTCAGCACAAGGGCAGGCAGGATCTTGGGTGGGCCAGGCAGTACGCAGGCCTCCAGGCTGCCACGGGGCCAACCCTCCTCAGCGCCCACATGCTCCTTTGTCCACAGCCTCCATTTAAAAAAATCCCACATTTTCTTGATCCAGTCTCCAGTTGATGGGCATGTGGGTTGTTTCTAAGTCTTAGTTATTACAAACTGTGCTGCTATGAAAATGGGTGCACATATATCACTGTGGTATGATTCTTTTAATT